GAGCCAGTGTCCACCAAGACATGGGCCAGAGTTGTTCCTCTATATTCCACAAAGACATGCAATGCATCATTGTGCTTTCTTCCCCTTGGTGTCAGGTCAGCATAAGAGAAACCTAAGCCGTTATCAGCTATCAAACTGGCCACACAATCTTGAAATTGGTCAGCAGACGTCTCTTGAGGCATATGGGTTGTCTTTAGGAATTTCACTAGGGCTTTCACATATGCTTCGGAACACAACAGTAATGCTAGCATGGATATTTTGGAGGGAGTTTTCCCCAATTGTTCAACTACGTCGTAGTCGCTCTTCTTTATTATTCTCAGGATCTCCTCCATTTCCTTCTTACAGGTTTCGGGGATAGTCAGTGGTTGAGCCTTCGTCTGGACAGGCTCTTCTTGAATACTTTTTCCACGAATTTTAGCAGTAGGAGTGTTGGTAGGGATAACAGCAGGGGTTGTGTCGTCTTTGTCATTAGGAGCACTTGCAGATATCATTATTGGTATGGAGGTAACCTTTGGAACAACTACGGGTCCAAAAACTGCCTTTGGAGGGGCAATTTCTGGAGAGAAAATTCTACTACTACGGGTAATCTTACTGGTTCCAGCAATATTGCTAATGTCGGAGTCTTCTACTCTTCTTCTTCGGAGCTTATATCTTCGGTGGCCAGCCCCTCTTGTTTGATACCATGGTAATATATATCTCCACCATAATTCCACGGTACTGTTTTGTCTAATTGATACGGGACCGGCCCGGGCATTGTGATTATAAGAGGAGTAGTTTTTGGAACCGATGTAATCCTAACGGGTCTTTTGGGGACCCTGGAAGGATTGGCGGAGATGGTTATGATTGAAACGTCTTCAACAGGAACAGGTGAAACAGGAGTACTTTCAAACAGAATCTCTTGGTTGTCTATCAAGCGTTGAATGCCTGCCTTTAATAGAGGGAAAACAGTTGGTAAGGATAAGCAAAGATGGCAGTCTTCATTACAACCCGGGAATACACCAGCTTTCAACAAGTTTATCTTAATTATTGGGAGTGGAGTCAAGAGTTCATCAACTGTGGTAACAAACAAATCTTCTTCGATAGCATTGGTGTTGTGACCATTCCTAGGCATCAGAGCGGAAATGAAGTTTGGCTTCTCGGGTGCATCAAACTCAATCTCTTTTGCATCTATAAGGTCTTGAATTTTGTTTTTCAGGGCCCAACAGTTGTTATTGTCATGACCCGGACTTTCGAAATGATATGCGCATCTGGCATTTGGGTGATAATGAGGGGACGCAGTGTTGGGGTTCTTTGGAGCTTCCTTTAGAGTTATCAAATTGGATTTCAGAAGATGTGGTAAAACCTGGGTTAGAGTCATATTGATTCTGGTGAATTTTCGGACTGGCCTTTCCACTCTCGGTTGGTTACTTCTTGGTTGATCAGATGTAGGCTTTGGGATTTAACGGCCCCTACCATTGGTCGGCGTTCAACTCTCCCTTGGTTCCTTTGTGGATAAACAGCAGATACCTCCTTCTTCCAAGTGAAAGGCTTTCTCACAGCTGTATAGGCAGATGAATCCTTCTGAATCTTTCCACTTTTTATGCCAGCCTCCACCCTTTCTCCGGTTAGTATTAACTCAGTAAATCCGCAGATGAGCTCCCAATCACATGGTTGAAGAAAGGGCCTGATAGAGTTCCTAAGAACATATTCACCAACTCCCTTTCAGACAGAGGGGGTTGTACTCTCCCGACTAGATCTCTCCATTTCTGCGCCTAATCTTTGAAACCCTCATTTGAAGCCATAGCCATACTCTGAAGTTGAGTACGGGTAGGTGCCAAATCTGCATTATACTGGTATTGCTTATAGAAGGCTGCGGCAAGATCTTCCCAGTTGTGGACGTCGGCCCTTTCCAATTGGTAAAACCAATCGAGTTGTGTTCCAAATAGGCTATCTTGGAAAAAATGAACCCACAAGTATTTATCGGCGGAGTGCGGATGAATCTTTCTCACATACAATCGGAGGTGCATCTTAGGACATGACACCCCATCATATTTTGCAAACAACGTCACTTTGAACTTTGGTGGGATCACAATTCCCGATAATAGTCCCAATTCTTTAAAGTCTAGACCCGACACCCTCTGTATTTCCATAGCGTTCAGACGCTCTTCAAGATGTTTGTACTTATCATCTGCGGGGGGATACTAATCCTCGGAGTAGTCTTCCTCTTCTTCCTCCTCCTCAGATTCTGACGGAACCACAGTTTGTTTCCCTTTTCTTTCTCCTTCATCAGATGTTGCTGCGAAATTCAAGGTTCTTCTAGTTTTCCCTTGAAACCTTCTCCCCGTGATTACAACACCGGTTGGTTTGTTCTCTTTCTTCTTCTTCTGTTTGGCCAACAGAGTCTTCAACACCTCTTATCCTTTGGCCAGGGTTGTGAGTAACTGTTGAAACTGCGTGTTTTGAGCTTGAAGATCTTTGACTGTCTGTTCGAGATCCATCTTACTGAAATAAACAATAGAGAGATGAGGAAACTCGTTGCAAAAGACCTGTTTATGTTATGATGAATGATATGTGCACATGCAATGTCTTCAAGAATTTCAAAGATTCAAGTTCGTTTTAGACAAAAAGAAACACAAGTTATATTAATAAGATAAAGTTTGAGTACATCAATGCCTCTTGGGCAAAATAATACAAAACCCTAAGATAAAAAAGTAGTGCGCATCCTCTTTGGTGCAATGTAGGCATTTAGAGTCTGCTCCTCATGAAGTAGCCTAGTGAGTTCTAAATTCTTCTTCTCGCTTGTGTAGAATTGGGCTTCGAAAATATGTCGCTCTCCTTTAAGTTGCATCCAATCCCTTTGTAGGTCTTCAAGAGATGTCGGCATGTCAGGATGTAGGATAGTGTATGGAACTTCTCCTTCCGTAACAGGCTCAATGATCACCAGGAGAATGGAAGGATAAGGCATCATGAGACTTTGAGCGCGGGTTTGTACCCACTTGAGGTAAGGCTTATGAGGGATGAAATTCCTGTATCCCAAAGTCTTGCTATCCACCTTGTTTAGCATCCTCCAAGCTCGGATGAATCTCTGGCGAAGACCTTGATCGTTGTTGTCGTAGTCGAATACCAAGCCTTGAATCAGCATCTCGTGCGGACCATCCCTTCGGGCATAACCAAACTGTCTTAGAGCTAAGCATGGGTTGTAGGTGATGTCTCCCCTAATGCCAAGTAGAGGGACATTATGGAATTCCCCACAATGGTCAACAATGATAACATTCTCTTTGGATCGGGAGCACCAATGAATGTCTGAATGTTTGAGCGTCATTAACCTTTGTGACCAACTCAAACCTTGCTCATTCTTTAAGACTGATTAGGGAAGATGAGAAATAAACTATCTTGCCAGGAGAGGAGTGCAACACATAAGGACACCTCTTTTCCTCATTGTACGAGTGTGAAAAGAGTGTAGGATTTATTTAATTGATGTTTTACACATTTAAAATATCAAGTTGATTATTCTTTAGTTGAATAATTGTTATTTGGTATGCTTTTCCTTGGTTTCTTTTTGGCTTGGCTTGAGTTAAAAAAACTTGTAATGCTTAATGTTTTGGTGCTTTTTAGTTCCTATGATTCAGCTTCATACATAACTTGTCCTTCTTCAGGAGATAAACATCTCAATCCACCATGCAATTCTTCCCTTGCATCATCTATTTGCACTGCTATTTGAAATATGAATGTGATGTGAAACTCACGTACAACAATATCAATCTTTCAATGATTATGTTGTAAACAATTATAATAATTTGTGATATGAAATAATATACAACAACCATACACTTTACCTTCATCCTTCATGTCTTTAATATTTTATTTTATTTTTGGTTCAATATTGTATACAAATTCGCATGCTACATAATAAACTAGTACAACAAATATGCTAACAATATAGATTATATTTCTATTTATACATCTATGACAATATAGATTATATTCTATTTATACATCTATGATAACAATTAGACCAAGATGCTACTAATTGATAATAATCATGATGGAAACAAGCTCATTTTTAGGTATTTTTAGGAGTACCACCTGGTATGATTCAGAAGAAATCTGGGATAAATGAGAAGGTTTTTAAAATCCATTTCTACTTTGTGGAAGGGAATCTCTCGTCTTTCTACATACTTTGGTGCGAGTTTTGATTAGTTTATTGAGACTTTATAAAAAAAAAAAATTGTGAAGATATTGAGAATTCCAAACTCATACTTTATTTGACATTAGTGTATAACTACAAAAAATGAACAACCAGGACTTTAAAGCGTGAAAGGTAAAAATAATTAGTTAAAATTTTAAAATTGACATTAATGAAAAGAATTCGTAAATTAAATCACATAAATATTTAAACTATTGTTTTCTTCTTATTATGTTACTTTTATTGTTTATTTATGGTCAATTACTTATTTATTGTATTGATATAAAGTTTAATAAATAATTAATTAATTTATTATTTTTTAATACTTCACTTGTTATTGTTCTATCCATTATCAGTGTATGCAAATATTTGATATTGGTTTATCATCATTGTTTACCAACAAATCATTAGTGGTGGATGTTTAATGGAATAAATACGTAAATTATATCACATAAATATTTGAAATGTTTTTTTTCCCTATTTTATAACTTATATGATTTGTTTATCTTCATTACCGTAAATTTCGGAATTGCCTGATAATACCGGCAATTTATAAAAAATTGATAATTTTTAGTAAATATGTATTATTTTCTCAAAAAATCGGGTATGATAGAAAGTTTACTTGAAAAAAAAAAAGAAAAATATTTATTTATTTATAGGAGAGGTATAATAATCCTAATTGGGCGGAAAAAAAATATAAGAGAGCAGCCAATCCATATTCTAACCTAGGTATATAAATATGTTTGTTCCTCTGAAACACAAAAACAACCGAATGTTGAGATTTTACTAACATTAAATACATTATTATCTTCTTCTCCTTCTGTGGGCGATTTTCATGACTCGTTCTGAAACCAAGCTGCTGCTGCAGCTATTCAATTATGCAAATCACACTTCAAAATCAATGGTATGTGCTCTCGTTATTTTTGTTTTGAATTCAAATGAATTAAACTGAATAACACTTCAAAATCAATGGTATGTGCTTTTTCGTTATTTTTGTTTTGAATTCAAATGAATTAAACTGAATAACACTTCAAAATCAATGGTATGTGCTCATGAATCATTTATATTTTTCGTTATTTTTGTTTTGAATTCAAATGAATTAAACTGAATAGAATAATTTTCTGAATGCAGAAGTCAGGTGTTATTGACGACGCATTAGGGTTTCTTAATGCAGTAAAAGTTGCATTTCAAAATAACATGCAAAAGTATGATCAGTTTTTAAAAGTCCTAAGAGATTTCAGTGCTAAAAGAATTTATATAAGTCGTGTCAAATCAAAATTGAAGATGTTGTTTAAAGGGCATAAATCTTTAATTCTGGAATTCAACTCTTTCGTGCCCAAGAAACATCAAATCAAACTACTTTCATTAGATAATGGTGAACTTGCTCAACTTCCTTGGGATGTGCTTGATATCATTTGCGAAAAACTAGATTTTGACGACCTCTTTTCGTTTCCTGGTGTTTGCAAGAACTGGTGGACTTTCCATAAATCAAATTTCTTGTCATCCCAAGAACCATTGCTTGTTCGTTTCACTGGTTATCATACCCACTCATATTCCTTTATTAGCATACACAATAAAAAAGTTTATGATTTGAACATGATGAATTGCTTCCAGCAACCCAAATGTGTCTATGTTGGAGTTTCCAGCGGATTTTTCATCTTCGCCCGTGAAAATAATTCATTTGTGCTATTCAATCCATTTACAAGAAAAGAATTGGTAATCCATGCTACTTTTACGGTTAATCATATCACAATTTATCAGTACCAAGCCTTGCTTGCTTTTGAGAAATGCTCCCAGGAATATGTCTTGCTTCTTTTATGCAAAGAGTCTAGCCGTTTGTATGCCTATCAATCTCGATACTCTCGTTGGTGTATTTATTCAACATTAAAACCGGAGGAGCTGGTAGTTGACTTTGTGGTTTTGAACAATATAATATATGTTGTCACTAACAATGCCAACATAGGGGTACTAAACTTGAATTCTCGAAATATTAAATTTCTAAACCTCAAGAATACTCCCGACAAACTTCCCTCAAAAACATCCTTTAATTTGGCTAATTGTGATGACCAACTTCTACTGATTCATTTACAATTGTACACAAGAAGGCAAGTTTACAAGATAGACCTGTCAACCATGAATTATGTTAAGATGAAAAGTTTGGGTGACATTGCATTGTTTTATGTTTCTCGTAAAAACTGTCGGGCATTGAGCAATCCTCAGAGATTTGGGTATCGGAGCAATTACGTGTATGAAGTAAATTCTTTTTCCAAATGTGGTATGTATGATTGGAACGATCATAGATTAAGTTATTATAAGCGTTCTGCTGGAGACTTCAATTTTGATTGGTGTTTTAGACATTTTGTATGTCAAGGTTCTGTTAGAAGCGACTTCAATTTATTTGATTGGTGTTTTACACATTTAAAATATCAAGTTGATTATTCTTTAGTTGAATAATTGTTACTTGGTATGCTTTTCCTTGGTTTCTTTTTGGCTTGGCTTGAGTTGAAAAAACTTGTAATGTTTTAGTGCTTTTTAGTTGCTATGATTCAGCTTCATCTATAACTTGTCCTTCTTCAGGAGATAAACATCTCAATCCACCATGCAATTCTTCCCTTGCATCATCTATTTGCACTGCTATTTGAAATATGAATGTGATGTGAAACTCCCGTACAACAATATCAATCTTTCAATGATTATGTTGTAAACAATTATAATAATTTGTGATATGAAATAGTATACAACAATCATACACTTTACCTTCATCCTTCATGTCTTTAATATTTTATTTTATTTTTGGTTCAATATTGTATACAAATCCGCATGCTACATAATAAACTAGTACAACAAATATGCTAACAATATAAATTATATTTCTATTTATACATCTATGATAACAATTAGACATAGAAATCTAGGATGAGTGAGAATGTTTTTAAAATCTATTTCTGCTTTGTGGAAGGGAATCTCTCTCGTCTTTCTACATACTTCAGTGCGAGTTTTGATCATCAAAAACAACCTTAAATCACTCACCTTCAAAGTACACTAGTTAGTCGAAAACATGTAAAGTTTGTGTAAAATGGAGTGATTCAATATCATAAATATAGACCAAACACGTATTTAAAAAAAAATACAAAGACTTACTAAAGTACAAACTGACAACTAAATATTTAAAAAGCAATAAATTTTCAAATGAGGAGAATTATCTCCTTAAAAATAGGACATAAGGTCTAAAAATATGCAATTTTTTCCTATTTTTACTCTTTAAAAGATATTTAAGTATATTTATCATATTTTTATTAGAGAAAAATATGAATTGTATCTAAGTATTCTCCAATCTTAAAAACCTTAATTTTGATATTCTCCATTAATATTAAATCTTAATCTTCTCTAAATCAAATATAATGAAATCTTTTCCAAATAAATTAAATCAATAAAATATTTACCAAAACAAGTTACAATTTTCAAAAGATTCTGATTAAAAATTATATAATCTGTATTTCTTAATAAAATAAATAAATCAATTTTTATAACAATTAAAAAAATCCATTTTGATAGCTAGGATTCTTTCTCTATCTTCATCAGTGAACCAATAAAATCATAAAACAACCAAAAATCTATTGTATCTCTTTATCGAGGTTTCATCCTTACACTTCCAATTTTGACCTGACATTCTCATATTTTTAACAAATTTAATCTTATGAATTTTCTCATTGTGTAAAATAAAAAACTCTGGTACAAACTTTTTGCAAGAGTTTTTATGCATTTTTATGGAAAACTTAAAATATCGATATGAAGTTTTACCGGATATTTGGAAAAACCCATAAACATCTTGAAGTTTTACTGTAATTTTTGTAAGAATTCGGAAATATTTTGCAATTTTACCGGACATTTCACAAAACTCCGAAAATATTTTTCTATTTTACCGAATATATGCTAACAATATAGATTATATTTCTATTTATACATCTATGACAATATAGATTATATTCTATTTATACATCTATGATAACAATTAGACCAAGATGCTAATAATTAATAATAATCATGATGGAAACAAGCTCATTTTTAGGTATTTTTAGGAGTACCACCTGGTATGATTCAGAAGAAATCTGGGATGAGTGAGAAGGTTTTTAAAATCCATTTCTACTTTGTGGAAGGGAATCTCTCGTCTTTCTACATACTTGGTGCGAGTTTTGATTAGTTTATTGAGAGTTTATCAAAAAAAAGTGTGAAGATATTGAGAATTCCAAACCCATACTTTATTTACAAAATGCCTTAAATCACTCACCTTCAAAGTACACTAGTTAGTCGAAAACATGTAAAGTTTGTGTAATAGCGCATAAAATGGAGTAATTCAATATCACAAATATAGACCAAACAAGTATTTACGAAAAAATACAAAGACTCACTAAATTACAAACTGACAACTAAATATTTAAAAAGCAATAAATTTTTAAATAAGGAGAATCATCTCCTTAAAAATAGCACATAAGGTCTAATAGAGTTTTGTTGAATCAATCTAAATATTTTTTTTCTTACAAGCTAAAGGGTAAAATCTTAGGAGCATTTCATTATACATGATTTATGTTTTTTTCAATAAAAATATGATAAGTGTATAATTTCATCTTACACATATGCAAATTCTTCCTATTTTTACTCTTTAAAAGATATTTAAGTATATTTTTATTGGAGAAAAGTATAAATTATATCTAAGTATTCACCGATTTTAAAAACCTTAATTTTGATCTTCTCCATTAATATTAAATCTTAATCTTCTCTAAATCAAATATAATGAAATCTTTTCCAAATAAATTAAACTAATAAAATATTTACCAAAACAATTCAGGTTCTGATTAAAAGTTATATAATCTGTATTTTTTAATAAAATAAATAAATCAATTTTTATAACAATTAAAGAAAACCATTTTGATAAAAATCTGGTACAAATTTTTTGCAAGACTTTTTATGCATTTTTATCAACCCGATATGAAGTTTTACAGGATATTTGGAAAAACACATAAACCTCTTGAAGTTATATCGTAACTTTTGTAAGAATTTAGAAATATTTTGCAATTTTATTGGATATTTCGCAAAACTCTGAAAATCTTTTTCTATTTTACCGAACATTTTGCAAAAATCCTGAAACCTTTTGCAATTTTACCGGAGATTTAGCAAAAATCCTGAAACCTTTACCATTTATTACCAAGGATTTCAAAAAATTTGGGAAAGGAAATATCCAATATACTTGATTTTTGTAAATATATGTATATCATTTTTTTTTGGAAATATTTGATAGTTTGATATGCTCCAGTTGTGCGGTCATGATCCTGATGGTTCTCCAATAGATTTTACTTAATTTTTCACACCAACGTGATATGTTTTACATAAATATTTACTTTTTAAGTAGTTGAAATAGTTTCATGATATCTAACATTGATTATTTTTTTGTATATGTTGTTAATGTCAGATATTTCCCTCTTGGACTGACGTTTTGGCATGGACGCAGTCTGTTGGTAAACAACATGATATTATTGTTGTTATTGTTTGTTCAGATACCATAAATGGGATGAGAGGGAGGAAATATAGATTGATTATGGGTTGTGAAATTGGAGGAAATTATAAGAAGAAGGATGTGATTGTAGCAACTTATACTATGAAAGTGAAATATCCAATTATGCTAAGATCTGTGCCAAGTGGAAGCGGTTGGAAAGTTACAGTTAAGTGTGAGTTTCATAATCATGTACTAGTTAAGAACATAGAAGAGGATGGTGCATTAGGTCGTTTAAAAGATTCTGAAAGAAAATTTGTGAATGACATGACCAAATACAATATGGCTCCATGATAAATTGGCGCTGCTTTGCAAGATAGAGATCTAGAAACCCTAATAAGTGTTACTCAAATCTACAAGGCAAAGTATACATACAAGTCGAGCAAGAGAGGTTCGTTCCTTGAAATGCAACATCTTATGAGTCTTATTCATGAAGATAAATACATGTAGTGGACAAGAAAATGGGTTCTTCCAATATTATTGTTGATATCTTTTGGACGCACCCCGATTCGGTGAAGTTGTTGAACATGTTTCATCTTGTGTTGATTTTTTTATTGCACATACAAAACAAATAGGCACTTCTTATGTCAATTGATTTTATTTTGATCTATTTGATTTCAGAGATATTGGAAGTTGTTGTTGATTTAATATACACATATGGAATATGAAATGGAGGAAAACTTCATGTGGACACCAGAGAAGCAAAACGAGTTGTTCGCATTCGAGAAGTTGTTGCCGCGTGTTTTGGTTATTGACTGTAAGCTGGCGTTGATGAATGATGTTGAAATAGTGTTTCCAAAGTTAATTTATTTGTTGTGTTTGTTCCATATTTTCAAAATTGTGAGTATGAAGTGTAAGGAGTATGTCAAATCACATAGGCTTGAACATGTTATGGATATGTGGAACAACATGGGTTAAATATTCAAATCCCTCGTAATGTTAGCGAGTTTTAGTTTTATCCACGTAAATTTTTTTGATCCCCCCTATCTTATTTATATTCCCTCAAATAACCCCCCAAATACCAAGTGGCATGGAGGATTCTTTCATTTTTTCATATGTGACTTTTTTGTTTATTTTTTTTCAAATTTTATTCCACATGTGTAGTACAGTATGGCATAATCATATAAATGGTTTTCTTTCTCTCTTCACTTACGGTTTGGTCGTCTCTAGGGTTTCTTTCCCCTTTCTTTCTTCATTTACGCCGGTCATTGTCGTTCTTCAAGCTTCATCTACGTTCGAGCATCTTTGTCAGTCATCGTCTGTAATGCTCGTTAATTTAATTAATTATTTAATTAAATTATTATTTTTTGATTATTTGTTGAAGTTGTGAGATGTTGGGAATTATTTGTATAAGTTGTTAGATTATTATTAATTAATTAATTAGTTGATTAATAATAATAATAATGTTGGAACTGATGGAATAATAATGTTGGTCTATTTTATTGGTTGGAAGTAGTGAAGGGGGGTGTGTGAGTTAGGCCCAATAGAATTGATGGTATAAGGTTAAGCTGATACAAGGAATTGATTTAGTTGGTGATTAAGGGTTTGTGCGTTGACCGGAAGAGCTGCGTGGAGAGAGGAGCAAGTTATCCGGTGTCGAGCGGAGCAAAACAAGGATTACGACCGGAGCTTTGGTTGAGCGAACTTCAATCCAGGTAAGGATGGGGTTCTGACCTTATAATGGGATTTATGATGTGTATCATGTGGGAATTGGTCGTTTGTATGAATGTGTGCGTTGATGTTTCAGGATTTTTTATCGAAGTTGCTCGTTTCCTTATGTCGTGGTCGTTTAGGGAGTTACCATATGAGTGTCTTGTACGATTAATGAACCTGTTATAGGAAGTTGCCCAATTGTTATGTTGTGGGCAGTTTGAGTTATCTGTATCATTTCCCGGTAGAATCGATG